GGTACATATGACCTCAACTTTCAAAAGGGGGGATGGAAAAGCTTAGGCTATGTGTTTAAAATACTTGCTAATTTTTTCTGCAGGCACCTTTCAATGGAGCCCTTTTGTACAGGAAGATTATATTTCCAATTTCCCACTCCATAAATGTCAGACTTAGCCGTATGTCTTGCTGTGGCCGATGGAATTGAAGAGTGACCTTAGTCACTTCCAAGTAGAATCTTTAAGAAACACCGTGTTTTCTGCTGTCACTGTTAAAAAAATATATTGCCAATTACTTGAATGACAGCATAGAAGTTATATTTCTTTCCTTTTTTATTTTATTATTTATTTATTTTTATTAAAGTTACAAGTTTAGAAGATAAATGGAGGGAGCATGAGTACTTTAAAGGATATAAGAAGGAAGGTGCCTGTTATTTCAAAGGGATATTCTTAGATTATATTTTTTAGAGCTCTAAAATCCCCCAGTTTTAACTGCTGTTTTATAGATAAAAACTGATATCCGAACGGTAATGCCATACAGCTAATTGGAGGCAGTCCAGGCTGGAACTTGAGTGTTTTGTGTCCCAGTTTTAATTTCTTCTGTGTTGAAAAAGAAGTTGTATTTCTCAAGTAGATCTAACACAGGACCCATTACATAAGATACTCTCTGGAAAAGAGATTCAATATATTGGAGTTGAAAATTATATAACCTGTTTAAAAGATAATGTAACAAATGTGCTAAAAGTGATAACTTAAAGTTGTATCACCTGAATAAATGGTAGCTAGAAGTTGTATTTTTAAACACAAGATGTATTGGATGAAGGAGACCTACTTGTTGGAATTTAGGTGAAACCAGATAGTAAGGATTGGTTCAAACCTCAAATAACACCCCCTGTGCTGGTGCCTCTATAAAAGTGATGGTGATATGAAGCTATATTAATGGATGTTTGGTGTCCATATTAGTAAAGATTTTCATGTATTAATTTTGGCACTATGCTTTAATAGGAATATTGATAAAACCCAAGAATTTGGGGTCAGTTTATTGGATGGAGTTAAGCAGGTGGAGAAAATATGTCTAAACCTAAAGCAAAGGACACCTGGCCTGATAAGAGAAAGGCTAAAGAAAAGGGGAAAAGGTAATAATTGCAAATGTGTTCATATCTAAGGGAGAGAGTAGGTTAACATTTTTATGTCAAGATCTACCTGTCGGCTTTAAGACATTTGACCAAACGGGTGCTCTCCTAATCAACCCTGCTCCCTGGTGATGTTAAGTTATAAATACAGAGAAGAGACACACTGAATAAATGCACATCATGAAAGAAAGCACTTTCTAGTCCTGGATGATCATCAGGATTATTTGGGAAGCTTTAAAAAAACACAGATACTGAACCTCACTTCCTGAATCATAATTTCTGATAGTGAGACTTGGGAATTTGTATTTTCATAAAACTCAGTTGATTCTAATGATCTAATGATTCTAATTATTTGCGAACTGCTGTATCTTGCGGTGGGTACTCGAGAGTCAAGAATCAATATACTACTAGAGAACACTGGTATGTCAGCAATGGAGGCAAGGCTAAGGCAGTGGTTCCCAGATTTTGGTCTGTATGACCAGCACAACTCTCAAAGAAATAATCCTCATCAACATACAATGGCTGACTCCCTAGTATGACAAACAAACCAACCAAGCAAACTACCTATTATCCATATAGTTTCATTAAAAAATAAATAAATAAATTTAAATTAGGCCTGGGCAGGAAGAAAGTACAACCTTTTAGATCAAATGAATTTAGTCATTTTTCTCATGTCACTCTGGACTGGTGAGAGTTTATTCACGTAGTGGCATCATTCGACATGCCAGCATTTGAGAACCAATAGTACAGGTATGTACAGTTCCATATGGTCTCTGGCATCATGCCGTTTCATTGTTCTGCCAGGTCAAGTGCTCATAGCTGGTTTAGGGACCCTAGTTCCACAGCGGTGGAAGGGAAGGCTCTGAAAAGAGAATATAGATGGTGTGGTAGGGTGCAGGGATACCTTTAATGATAAAGGATCTGTGAGCAATTGTTGAAACCGGCTGTCTGGCTGAAGAAAACCTTGTGGAGACCTGAAAGCTATATTAAAATGCATGAAGGGCTTTCATCTATAATAACCCTTGTTATGCCAGAAGGCAGAACTAAACCTCTGCAAGGAAATCACTGCCAGACGCATTATAGTTTAATGTAAACAAAAGCTTTCTGACAACCAGACCTTTCCAATAAAGGTTGACAAACTACATGGAGATTATACTTCCTCTGGAGGACCTCAACAAAACACATCCAAGTAACAGTTTATTAGGAATGTGAGTAAAGGGGTTCTGGACTAAAATTCACAGTTTTCTAAGCCTGGCAGGCCTCCATAACTAACCTGGGAAGCCTTGTAAACAAATACAGATTTCTGGGCCTTGGCTTAGATCTATAGAAATGGAATCTCTACCAATGGACTCAGGAATCTCCATGTTTAATAAGCCCCCAACCCCACTCCAGGGAATTCTGAGTTAAGTTGATTGCAGCCTTGGAAAACAGTTAGACAAGTGAACTCGAATGTCTTGAAGCATCTATGATGAATGATTCTATACAGTTCACAGAGATAACATTTTGTTATAGCATCAATATTTGAATATCTACTTAATATCACATGTTTTATTATTGGTTACTTAAAAGTTATGTCTGAAACAACCAGTTATCTGAACATCAGTACAAACTGAAAGCATTGGCCTGTTTTTAATACAAGATTTGCTTTGAGCTTGAAAGAGGAACTAGCTTCACATGAGGAAAAGGAGTCATGGACCTAATTATAAAATATGGATGTGTAAAATTGCCAAACAGATAACACGTTTGGGCCAAAAATTTTTATTTACAAGATCAGTGACTCATTTTTTCCAGTCTCAAAGAGCATATTAGTTTAATATGGCATTAAATATATGTTTATTCCTGTGAAAGAGAAGTTTTATTCGGTCTTCAGTTATTTTGAAATAATTTTTCATTTTCATGAATATTTTATTCTGCCATGGCCTGAGTGACTGTCCCAGTAACAGAATTTTCAAGGCAGAATGGCAGAGTGGTGCAAAGGTCCACATCAGTTTTTAGAGCCTGAAGTTCTGATCTTGATTATTCTCTCCGATGAGTTTCTATTTCAAGCTTCTCTGTATAGATTATCTAAACGGCTTTCCGCTGTTGATAAGAGGCGAGGTAGGCCTTGAATTACAGGCAAAAGAGGCTAGACAGAAGCCATCAATCAATGGAATACATAGATCATTCCTTGAAGTTTTCTGGTCTAACCACTGAGAACATTTTCTTAATATCTTTTTCTGAGCCATTCAACCCTTTAGAAATATATTATTGTAAACATATTTTCCTTTGCTTATTCTTCTATCTAACCTTCATTTGTATGTTATTAATTACATATTCAACAAAAACCAAGTGGGAACTAACTTTACATCAGGCACAATGCTAGATATTGGGTAAACAAAGCCACTGCTCTCATGAAGCTATGTTCTAATAAGAAGAAAGAGATAAAAAACTTGTAGAAAACACTTAAGACTTTCAGCTAGTGACAAGTGCCATAAAGAAAATTAAGTGGATCAGAGAATTGTTGAAGGACCTTTTTTTAGATAGGTTAATTTGGAAAAGGAGGCGGTATTTGAGGAAGACTTGACCACTCTGAGCAGCTGTGAGAAGAGCGCTCCAGGGAGAGAGAATAGCTAGTGCAAAGGTCCTGAAGCAGGAATAAGCTGGGGTATTGAGAGGTCAGTTATTGTTGCCATTAACACTGTAATGAAAACTTCGGGGTACAAAAGGAGGCCAAAACGAAGACAAGGGCCAGATAATGCAGAAATTTATAGGCCATGGTAGAAATTTGAATTTATTATAAGGGTGATAGGCTCCAATCAGGGAGTGATATACCTTCATATTTTACAAAGATAACTCAAGCTCTGTGCAGAGAATGGACCACAGTCAGGTAAGAGTGGAACGAGAAAGACCAGCTAGATGGCTGCTTTTGCAGTAGAGATGATGTCTACTTGTTTAAGTAAAGCTTTCTGCGAAGAGAATGTATATGCAAGTCATATATATGCTCCTTTCAACAGACATTCTCAGTCAAGAAGATCATATATACGACTCTTAGAGCATGATTCTTGAACTTGTACTTTTCAGCCTTAATGTTCACACCTCCAGCACTATTAGTTTCATTTCTCCCTGCTCTTAGCTACTACCTCCTTCGGCTGAGAATCACTAGGTTAGATAATTAGGCCAGAGAACTTGGTCTTTATCAGGCAAAATGGCATCCATCCAAGTTAAAATCCAGAGCCCAACCCTCGGTTGTTTCTGCCATTTCCTTTTTTCTTCCCATAGGCTTCTCTTTCCCAGTTTCTACCACTTAATTTTCTGTCCCCAGAAGAACATAGGCTCCCAATTTCTCCCCTACTCATCCCATCTAAAAGACACATAGATGTTTGTTTGTTTTTTTTTTGCTGTTGTNGAAGAACATAGGCTCCCAATTTCTCCCCTACTCATCCCATCTAAAAGACACATAGATGTTTTTTTTTGTTTTTTTTTTTGCTGTTGATTTGAAGGATTTACTTTTTGTTTTAGAGGAATACAAAGTGACTACAAATAAAAAATATAGCAAACTCCTCCATGTATTCCACCAACTGAATGGAATAAGTAAGAAAGTTACCTTTCCTTTTCATTAAATTTTAAGTAGAGCTGAAGGGGGTAGGACATGTTTTCAACATTTTTTTTTAAGGGAAGTAATATGTGCATATGGCTGTTGATAAGAATGTAATAAAATCTAACGTTTATTCAGCTGTTGCTATGTGCCAAGCACTGTTGGAAGTGTTTTCTTGGACTGATTCTCCTAATTGCCGTCCTTCTTCACAGATGAGCAAAGTGAGGCACAGCGCTATTAAATAATTAGCTCAAGGTCTCACAGAGATTGAGGTGCCAAACTAGGATTTAAAGCCAGGTTTTTCTCTTCTCTAGGCTATGCTGCCTCTGCAGTGAGATGACGGGACTCCGTAGAGCCTTTGCAGGTTTGAACCTGAACCATTCAGCAGGTATGTGCCCGCCTCCCTGCCTCCTGATGTGGTTCTGACTCCTCCAGGTGCTCTGCATCCAATCCAGTCCACGTTTTACCTCTGGGCCTTGCTTTCAGCTGCACCACCTCAACCTGCCCTTTGCTTAGGCCTTTATTGAAAAGTATCTCCTTAAGCATGTGCTTGCCAAAATGGAAAGAAATGTTTTCCCTCTCCTTTTCATTGAATTTCTGACTTGGATGGTCCCATAATCATTTGGTTCAACAGTTGCTGTCTGCTTCTCTTTGGGGGCTGTCCTTGTGTCTGAAAGGGAGACCAGGAGAGCAGAACCTCCTAAGCTAGAGGGACACAAAGCTTTCCTCTTCGTGGTTTGTCCCCTTATGTGCTGAGACATTCAATTATCAGCTTGTCCTTCTCACAGGTATACTCTTGGTCACAGCAGGCTCCAGGAGATTACTTGTCTCACTACTGAATTTCCTTTATGTGTTTTTTTAAAGTATGTATGAAATTATAGTCTTGAGCTTTCCTTTTTCATACACAAACTAATCATTATAAAACCCAATAATGATCCCCAAGGGAAAAACCACATGGAGCTAAAGGGCTCAGACGTGGAGTGAGGGTGTTGGACAACAGACATCGTTCTGGGACCTGTGGACATAATTCTCTCCTGGGGGTCAGTGCACCGCATTTTATGACTTGAAGCTATTTTTTAGGGTATTACGCCATAGTTTCCACAAAGCAGAATTGTGTGCTGTAATGTCTATTTTGCATGCCCCATATCATTCTTGAGCCTGAAATTGCAAAGTTTTAGCATCGTGTATTATTGATCTGATGATTTGACTTAAACAAAGGAAAGGGGGAAAAAATTAAAGGACCAGAAAAATCAGAAACACTCCATGAAATAAAGGGACTGGTTTTCTGCAATCCCTCTGACAAAACTCTTTAACATTTTATTCTTACGGGTTATGTGACTATAGGATGGTTAACTTGGCGATTTGCCTTTCACCAAGGAGAATGAAAGGAGTATGAAAAAGAAACTCCTTTTAAATTTTAATTTAAATAGGATTTCTCTTGCACAGTAGAAAAGATAAATATACCTCAGCATTTTACTTTCGAGAGAGAAAGATTTTGGTATTTAGCTTTAAAGTTAGAGCAGCCCTGTTCTTGTGCAAAATCAAAACAAGGGAAAGTTCTGGCACATTTGCTTCTTAGAAAAGGGTGAGAAGTCTCACTTTTGATTTTCTAGCAAAATCTGTTGTTAAGAAAGACTCAAGTACTTATTTATACTAAAGTGAAAATGACTAAACGCAGCTTAAAACATGATCCCTCCCAAAGGAAGTTCTAGTTTCACAAGGATCAAATCTTTAGATGAAAAAGTGGAACCTCTCAATTAGTGATTTACCTCTGTATTTGTTTGCTTCTTTTATAAAAACTTATATTGCATTTTGTTTCAAAAAAGAGATTCAAAGCTGCATCATAAAATAAGAAAAAAATTAAAAACAAATAATTAGAACATTAGGATGATTTTAATGTTGGGAATTTTGGGTTTTAGGGGGAAATGGAAAGAACTCTTTATTTTGTGGTTGCTAGAAACCCTTATTTTACCTTGAAATTTTAGCGGGGCAGGGATAGGATGGAATCACCAACTCCACTTACAACAGACCACCTTTCAGCACATATTAGATAATTTATGGTGAAAAAGTGAGTGGCTTTTAAAAAAATCTCTCAGCTTGCTTGGGGCATTTAGTAGAGTTTACTATTCTAGGTTTAGTTTTTGGTAGCCATCTCTTTGGTTATTTATTAACCTCCACTTAAAGTACAATTTAATCATCAAGGTACAAAGTTCAGTTAATGTTTCTATGGGTCCTAATTATGATAATACATAAAGCCACTGTATAACTTGAAACACTTCCTAAAATATAAAATTTATATGTGAAATAATTAGACTTTGCGGCACTGGATCTGAATACCAGCATTATACAGGGTAATCCTGCAGTAACAGAAAAATGCTGCTGTGTTAACCCAATGTTTACATGATACCTGTGTTCTAAATAGTCTATATGCTTCACTCCTTACCTCCACCTCCTCCTGCTCCCTCTATAGCTACACTTATAAGGACAGGATGTCAAAGGAGATCAAATACTCCCCCAGGGGAATCCAGAAAGGAGAAAGCCTTGGATCTCCTCCTTTCTAGCGATGTATATAAATTTGCAATTCATCGAGGAGAAGGATTGCTTAGGACCCAGAATTCAAACTGAAGACAGGGATTCAGTTTATTCCCCTTTTGGAGGAGTGAATAAAGGAGCCCTAGAAGCTAGGAGTATGAACATCATATGTATTCAGTAAATACTTGCAAGATGATTGTACAACAAAGTCTCCTTTCTGAAGCCTAGCTTTTGAAAGTTAGTATAATGGGAACCGTAAGGTACTTTTTAGGATAGGAAATTCTTCAATTTCTACTCTGTTGATGGACTAGACATAAATGAGCCCCTGCTCCTTAGTATACTGTGTTGGTCAAGGGTGCTCAGATCTGGAATCAAGCTTTCTGGATTCAAAATGTATCTTTACCACTTATTAGCTGTGTAAAGGTAGTGAAGTTGCTTAGCTCCTCTGGGACTCAGTTTCCTCAACTATTAAAGGAGTTGTTAGGAAAAGTAAATGATGTATTAAGTGCATAGCACTAGACACACATAACCTGGTAAATATTGGGCAGCAGCCACATTATAGTAGCCCTAGCTTCCAGAAAGCCTCAAGTCCTATCTGCTAAAAGGAAGATTCTTTTTGGCTAGAAATAATAGGAACTTCAAGGAGTTAAAGACAGGTTCATATCTACCCATGGCTTTCTAAACCATGTAATAATTAAAAGAGCATTGAAGAAGACTGCTTTTGAGAGAGAAATAAGCAGCTATCCAAAGGATTTTGGGTCAGGAATACATATTGGTGGATTTCTCTCTTCAGAGATTTTTAGAATTATCTCCAATAAAATAAAGATAGTTCATAGGTCTAAAAAGTCAAAATGATTTTTAAAACCCTTAAATATGAAATTTTACCTTGAATTTTTTTTTTCTTTAATAAATATACCATTTATTCAGCAAATATTTATTAAGCAACTACTATATACCAAGCATCATGTTAGGTGCTAGGAAGAAAAAGTGAAAAAGGCATATTCTTAATGAGTTTAGAGAACCTAAATATCCAGGTCAGCAATACCCTTCAAAATCATTATTTGGGGATCCTACACATTCATTCCAGTATTGCAGCTGTTGCTCTCAACACCTTCAAACAACTCTTAGGCAGTGCTTTCAGAGTCAATGCCTGAGCCACACAAATGCAGCAGTGGCCTCCTTACTTTTTGGAAGGATCAGTATTTAGTAGGCATTGAAATATCCCAAATGTCCTTTATTGGTTGTTAAATGCCACAGCTCAGAAACCTCCAAGTCCCCTCTCATTCCCACTGCTATGGTTTCCTCTATAGGACGCTGTAGAATGCCTTATAATCCAGCTACTAAAGAGTAAATAAGTGGTTCTTGGTCAGAGTCCTTCAGGACCTTGCTTTAGTGACATCTGTTCTGATTAATCTGTGTCCTGCCATTCCTGTTGTTGAATATTTTAAATATCAACCCTAGTACAGAGTTTCACATTGCATTCCCCCAGGCCCTCTGTCACACCCACTTTTTCTACTTGGTGCACCCAGGGCCCCATCTCTTACTCTGTATTACTTTTAGCTATTGATGAAGATCAAATCTAATTTTAAAAAACATAGTTTGGCTACCTTTAAAGACATTTGTTTAAAATTAAAAGGAACAGACTAAAACCATATCCAAAAGAGAGATTCTAACATTATTCTGAATGAAGGCAAATGTCACTGAAGTTTGTCTGGGGTCTCTCAAGGTGACTGCTCAGAGGGGATGACATTTATTTCTTATATAAATTTTGGTGCTTTTACGAACAAAAACAATAATATTAGGCCAATTACTCCAGAGTCACATCTTGCGTATTAGATGAATGTCTATTTTTAGAAGAGTTGTATTTTAAGATCATAAAACCTTCACTTAGGAACTTTATTAAAATTTATGTTTTTCAGCTAACAAAATGTTAGCATATAAGGGATATGATAGGCATTTTGGAATATGCAGATATAAAAATGTCCAGATGGAAAAAGAAAGTAACAGTGAATATTGTTTCCAGTGGCAATATGATTCGTAATTATTCAGAATTGTAAAGTATGGCACAATCATAGAGAAAAAAGAAGTTTTTGTCTCAGGGAATGTGAATTCAGAAATATTGTTGTTATAAAATATGCTTTTAAAAAAAATGTGTTGTTATAAAATATGCTTTAAAAAAAAAAATATTGTTGAAAGTATTACAGATGTCCTCTTTTCTCCCCTATCGACCTCCTCTACCTTGTTCTTGCCTCCCCTCCCCCCCCCCAGGCCTTCACAGCACTATTGTTTGTGTCCATGGGCTATGCATATATGCATATAAGTTCTTTACTTAATCATTTCCCCCTCCACCCTTCCACTATGCTAAGTGAAATAAGCCAGTCAGAGAAAGACAAGTGTCACATGACCTCACTTATATGTGGAATCTAATGGACAAAATAAACTCATGAACAAAATAGGTCCAGACATATGGAAGCATGGAACAGATTGATGAAATATGCTTATTTTTAATAGGAGGATTTGTATGAAGGGATCTAAATTTATTTTTACTTTGTTATAAGACACTCAAAAATAAAAAATACAAATTGACAAAACCAAACCAAACAAAAAGGACTTTCTGAAGACAAAATTATCGATTGGTGGGAAACAATTTTGAAAGAAATTACTATCTTATACTTGTGCTGAAGACAGAATTGCCTTTAGGTACCATAGCCAAAAAGTTGATAAACAGTGCTTAATTAAAATTTCTACTCATTTGACTACTGAATCATTTGTAAGAAAATCAGTAAATTTTTTCCATAATGATAATAGATCATATAAATAGCATTAATTTATTCTATAATATTGACCATTAAACTG